CTATTTCATAACGTATTTAGTAAAGCTCAAAACAAAAATGGTAAATCGACAGGATATCCGAAGTTGAATAAGGTTAGTTTGTGTTCAAAAGTCTCAAGTTTTCCTTTTCCCCACTTTTATTTCTTTTACAGATTGATATGAACGCTTCAATTTTCTTTTGCTCATTTTGCGAGACAGCAGTAGTTTCTTTACTTTCCTCAGAAGTTTTGCGCGGAAAATTGGTGCACATGCGGCCAAAACTGACCCCTCGCGCATGCGCTACATTTGACCGCTGTGTCTCAGCATGAGATAGAATAAATATATGAAAATCATATATTTTTTGTCTCAGCATGTGACTTCATTACTCATTTCGCAGTAACAGCTGACAACTATCTGGGTAAGCTCTCGACACGCTCTTGCTTCCCGGACTGTCCACTGTAATTGCTGTTCACCTTTAAAGACAACTTCACTACACATACAGAAACGTATTTCCACAAATAGCCGCGGGCACCCATATTTATTCATGCTTAACTCGACAGAAAAACCGCGAAGTAAATACAAGCTGACAATAACCTCGGAGAGAAGTTGAAGATTCCATAAAAGCTGATCATCAACCTCTTCTTCGTCTGCTACCCCTTCCACTGAAAAATTTTAAATATTTACCAGTTGCGATAAGAGTATAGTATTAACAAAAATGGCCGCAAAATTACGATATAATCTGCACGAGCAATGTGGGATTTAAACGCGGTCATTGGCAGTACTTCCGAAATAGACAGAAAATTGAATTTACAAAGTTTAAAGATCAAGTGGTTTCTGATAAAATAAGAACAACAACAGACAAACAGAATAAAAAACACGCACACACAAATACCGCAGGACTCGAGACTAATGGCCCAGAAACGTGAGAGGAAAAGTAGTTTGAGCACATTTTAAGTGTTTTTCCGCACGAAAAATAGAAAGAGATACATGAATATACTAATGAACAAATAAAGAGATATGTAGGTAACTAAAGAACTGAGTAAACAAATAAACGAACAACATTAAGAGCATTTTGCGAGGCAAGAAACGTTTTCATTTTTATAAGCAATTTTGTGTGTACATCATCTAACCTGAGGTCAAGTGCTCAATAACAGAACCACAGTGAGGTACGAACATCTTCAGAGTAGCTTTGGCATTTGTCTATAAATTGAGAAAAATACATTGCATCCAAAATAATCTGCATATAGTGTAGCACTAGAAACAGCTGGCCTAACGAAACTTCACGAGAGGAGGAAAAAAAATTTCAACCAAACTGTTTGACGAGATAGTCCGTAACCCCACCCATAGACTCCACAGCCTCCTCTCCCAAAGGAAGAGTTGTAGATACGCACTGAGGCGCAAAAGTGATTTCACTCTCCCCATATGCAAAACCGAGCGCTTGAAGAACAGTTTTATTTTTAGCCATATTTATAAGATGTAGATAATTTTCCTTCTTTCTTAACGACGAAGTTGTAATATTTTATACCTCCTTTTTT